TCATTTTGCTTCCGAGAAACATGCAAAACGGGAAGGAAAACATGAAATTTTGCAATAATCTTGCGCCACCCTTGCACAAAACGACGATCATTTTTCTAATTTCATAAACAACAGAAGACCAGAGTATTTTTTATACTATGTTTATATATATATATGTATGTATGTATATTTACTACATACCCCCCCTTCCCCCGACTTTCCTCAATAGCTTTAAGATCGAGACAGTTTTCTTCTGCTGTTTCTTGATGCGACCAAACAAAACTACGTTCATAAACCCAAAAGTTTGCAGAAAATAGTCAATTTTTACGTCGAAAACGTTTTGATTTTGAGTCATCATCAAGCCCGAAAAGTTCTGTTTTTGTAATACACAAAATACAAAAATCTGTTCCTACTAGGCAATTTAATAAGACACATGGCAGCGCATGATCCTGATCCGCTGGTGCAGCGGAAGCAACTGGAACTGAAACTGGGCAGACAAAAGAAGATCCAAATGATCGATGGGCAGCAGGTGAGTTTCGTTTTTCTGCTGTTACCCGCAGTTTTTCATGTTTTTCACGCGCTAGGTGGAAGTGCTCGGGCCTGGTCTGGGTTCCGATGAGGAGGAAGAGATCGATATGATGGCTGTAGAGGGTTCGGATGGCCAACAGTATGTGGTGTTGGAAGTGATTCAATTGGCTGATGGGGAAGAACAAGCTATGATGGGGCCTGGCAACGAGTCCGGAGGGGGCATTGTGGGCATGGACGGTGTGATTGAAAATGAAGGTAAGCAACGCCGGCTTTTAGTTTGTTGGCTGGTTTTCAAGAATGCGCTTGCAGGATTGGACGAAGAGGTGATCAAGGCGCTTCAGTCTGCGCGGCGATTGGCTAAAAGCGAAGACCTAGAAGATGAGGACGACGAAGAAGATAAGAAGCCAATCCTGCCCAGCACAGAATCGGACATGCAAAACTGCTTTGGATTTGATGTAAGACGAGTCGCTCACTACCCTTTTTTGGTACCACGGTTCTTTTGTTTCTTCCAGGAGGACGAGGAAGACGATCAGCAACGAGACGCCCTGGATTTGCTAGCAGAAATGGATTGAAAATGATGAAATCGCTTTTTTCCCTTCTTTGTACACCCGTTTTTTTTTGATAATGCATTGTTTTGTAAATATATACTAAGCTGTAATTAATAAACTGTATATTGTACAAAAGTTCAATATTTTTACAATGAAAATATTTCTATTTAACGCCTAGTATATTACAGTTCTATACATCTAAATAGTACAATGCAACGACTGAAAATTAGTAAGAGCAAGAGGAGGATTTTCGTGTTAACATTGATTTGTACAAACTCCACCACGAAGTTTGAAATTCCCACCGCCTGAATAATTTACAAATGTACACACCCTATGAAATGAAAAATACCACAGCTTTAACAGTCGCCGGATGACGTCATAGTTGGTGCCTTTCTAGTGATAAATGGTGGATGGCAGTGATGGATTAGCAGCACTTTATGTGACAACTGCCAAAGTGAAGATTTGAAAAAAGTTGGTGCTCCGCTGGTATTTACTTATGGGGCCCATAGAGCAGCTGCAGACTAGAGGGTGAGCATATTGAAAAGCTTGTGGTATTTTCGCGAATTTAACTTGCAGAGCCGGAATGCGATCACGTTCTAAGCCTAGTTTAGAGAAATATTAAGCACCCCACATACAAACACTTGCCGACGAGCGACACAAACAATCGCTGAGTGAAACTGAACTCAATTCGTGGCTCTGCTGCGGTTAGTTACTGATCGGGTCGGCTGGGGTTCATGCAGTAGTCGATTTCGCTGGGAACTGCCCGCAGGGCGTATAGCAACACTAGAGCTAAAGACGGGGTTTATTCGCCTAAAAAGCTGCAAAGGGTTGCTTACCTAAGACCAAAATCAGCACGCTCTGGCCGACCAGGATGTACTGGAACCGATTCAATTTCGCTTGAATGTCGCCGATTTGCGACAGGGCGGCGGTCAGTTTGTCCAGCTTCGGCTCACTAGCTTCGGTTTTTAACCATACGTTGCCGTTGCGGGTTACTTCGCCGCTTTGCACGCACCGCAGTCGGTTGCGGTACACTTTGCGGCCGCTCGAATCATGCGAAAAATCCTGCAAATTGAAGAGACAATGGCAGTTTGGACCACATTCGGTTTTAGTGCAAACCTTCCAAAACTCGGTGAGGTCCAGGCCTTCGGCCTGCTTCTCCTCCAGCGCGGTGCTCATTAGAAGGAACTTGTCTTTGGACATGGCCCCCAATTGATAGCCAGGCATTACGGTCACTGTTACGGTCTCTTTGCCCCCAGGCTTCAGACATCCTGTACTGGGTTTCACGCGGAATTTTTCGGGCGATGTTGTTTTCAACTGGAACATTGATTCAAAAATGTCGCTAAATTATTTATTCATTCCAAACTTCATCACCCTAACCAATGATGGGAAGAAAATAGCAAAAAGCTTGCGACAAACTATAGGTACCTTGAAAGTGATTTGAGTGGAAGCATCCGTATTGTGCAACTCCAGTGAACTGACCAGGTCGCGACCTTCTCTAGCAAATGTGATAATGCCGTCCGGGTTGACCTTAAGAGGACCATCTAAAAGCAAATTTACCAATCAGGGTGGCCTTAAGGGTTGCGAACACCTACCCTCTTCATGGTCGGAATGTGGGGCTTGATCCGGCATCGAATTTCCAACCACGAAATGAACCTGCAAGACAAATGTATCGATTACACGCGAAGATCCTGCGGCTGTTTGCTGTGCGCCTACGTGGCAATCAGCTACAAGGTCTGGTTTAAAAGTAGCTGAGTTAGCTGACCTTTCGTCCAGAATTCTTTGGCTCGGCCGGCTCAGGAGGGCCTTTTTCCGGTACGAAAGTGAACACGTAGTTGCTGTCGCCGCCCCAGCTTTGCAGCGCTTCGCTCTTGGGCACGAAGTTCTGAACATCCTTTTTGGACACGGTTTTCAGCTTTTCTATGGCCTTTTCGGGCAGCCAGGTCTTGACAATTTTGAACGCAGCTGCAACGGTTAGTTCAGATTGCGGCCCGGGTGATTTTGAAAGAATTACCGCTCAGTATCCACGCCATTTCGTAGATGATGATGTAGTTCAGGAAGAACGGGTAGTATTCCTTGAAGAGTCCAATCAGGTACTTGATCAGCTCCATGTCCATGTTCCCTAAGCCGCAGCCCTCCATGTCGAAGAAGATGCTGATAATGTCGCCCTTGGTCATCCTGGGAAATATTTACGTGCTTTCAATCATTCAACCTTTCAACCATCGCAGCCAAACCTTTCGACTCGCTCAAACCAGTAGACGACGCATCGTTTCACTTCGTCCATGTCCACTGAGCCTTTTGTGTGCATCTTGCACTTAAACACGAGCATTTGCTTGCCATCTATGTCCTTGCCATGTGGGAAGAAGGCCCCTTTTATAATCAAGTCCATTCTGATGTTGTCTTCGTTGATTTCTGTTGAGACAAACCAGGCGTTCGAAACAGTGCCTGTCAAGGTGATTAGGGGGCATACCATTCACTTTAAACTCCTTCCTCCAAGTCAGTGAGGTCCACATCATTTTGAGGGTTTGAGAAACGTTGCAATCGTTGTGTGCGAGGAACCTTTGCAGCCAGTGATTGTCTGCTTTCACCCTTTCGTAGTCTTTAGGATTGACGGCTGTAAGCGCACATGGTTAGATAATGGGGCCTTTGCCACTTGGCAGCTTACCATCCTGGCCCTTATCAGCCACTTCTGCCAGAAAAGCGCTTCGCAGCTGGTCCACTAGATCAGGAGACACAGCCGCCACTGCCATACTTGCAACTGAAAATAACTGACTGCAAACGGCAAGCCCGAGGGAAACCTAGCACAAGGACACTTGAAAGGTGAAAAATAACCTGCTGCCAAGCAATGGAACTCGAAGCGTTTGAAAAGAGAATTGACATACGATTATCGTTCAAAGATTGAAAGCAAAGTCCAATTTTTTAAAGTGTTCCGATAAAAGAATTGTTTAAATCGTTTTCAAGCTGCCTGACAGGTGGTTGTTTATAAACAATGACATGTCACATTTTCCCTACTCTGTTCTGTCTCTGTCTTGTCGGCAACAAAAGAGTAGGACGGGCTGAGAACCTGAAGCTTGGAGGGCCACGCACAAGTCAAGCAGTTATTTCCTTTTTCAAAAATAAAAATCACACAACATTTTTATTTAAAAATCTATTAATAATAACATAAATTCTTTGTAGAAATTAGGAAATATTACAAAAACATACATACACAAATACAAACAGAACATAGAGTTTTGCGAAACATGTCTGTATAGAATATAATAATACTGATTGCTGGAGTTATGCATACGTGAGGCCTTTTTTCTGAATAGCCACTGATACGGCCGCATTTAGGAAGTCCATGGGATCCTTCATTTCCTGATCATATACGCTCGCGTTGGGGGATTGAGTCCCTGACGACTGAATTTCCTGTTCTTTCTGCAGATTTTCCCGATTCTCCACAGACGACTCTTGTAGGACTGATACTGCAAAACACATCGGTTCAATCAAAGGTCTGCAAATCCCACTGAGAGACTACCATTGGTGTCGGTCAGCGACTCGCTCCTACTGCTTCCAGCTATGGAAATATTGGAGTTGAAGCTGGAGTTGGAATTGGAGTTCAGGTTGGAGACGTTAAAGGAGTTGTTGGTGTTTGACCAACTTGACTGCAACCCATGGGACTGAATGGCCATTAGAATGGCGTCATCTTCCACCTGGAGGAGAGCAATGACGCAAATATCCTTAATAACTAAGTATAGGGGATAGGAAAACCCTTACCAGCGAAACTTGTCCCTCATTTTCGCATTCATCGACGAAATTGGAGGCGTCAAAGGGCCGATTTTCCCAAGTCTCCAACATGCTGTTGATTGTGTTGTCCACAAACCCTCTAGCAATCTGCCGGGCCTGCCATTTCCTGCAACAAACCAATAGAAGACTGCCATTGTCGTGATCTTCTCCCTTACTGCAGGAAATAGTCTTGTTTTCTGCCATTTTGATCGAGTGGATGACGAGGAGAAACTGAACGAGATGGGGCACTGTTTTCCTCCTCATCCGAACTGTACTCGTCGATAATTGCCTGAGCTTCAGCCAGCAGAGCTTGAGTGCAACAGGAAGCATTGGCAGGAGTGCTTGCCCCTGAAACTGAGCAGAGCAGAATGGAATAGAATCGTATTAGACCTGAAGCACTACCACTGGCTGGGAGTCTGTCCCTCGAAGAGCTGCTGGGAGTATCCGTAACACTGGCAACTGCCACCAAAGGCCCACTATCCGAGCCCTGTTTCAGATAGCCCTTGCCCTTAACCTCCCACATGAATCTGGCTTTCTTCAGCGGCTTGTCCTCCTCCAAATCCTCGTGTTCCTTGGAACTGCCTTCTTTGTCCATTGTCCTGTCGGAAAGGACACTGATTTGCTCCTATTGACCACCGGTCAGACTGTCTATAAGTTGGTCATGGGCTAGGAGTGGACGTTTTATCGATTCGACACACAACACACCAACAGTAACGACCCAAATAACGCCCGCACTCTTAGAGCGCAATTTTGCACTCAAAACAATCGAAATCCGGCGGAAAATGCACTTTTAAAACTCCCGTTTGCAGCCTTATTTACAAATTTTAATCAGATGTTTTTAATATTGGCCACACGTTTTGTTATATGTGGCTCTCTTTGTTTAATGGCCGAATTTGCGGTGGACAGAGCGAGATGGAACGCTGATTATGTCAGAGTTAATGACTGATGCGAGCGGCATCTGGTGGTTTGCGTGCGCGCCAGAAAGAACGCTGTTGTAGAATGGGACAGACAGAGAAAAAAATACTTTTTTTGGTGGGTCTCCAAAATTACATTAATTATAAAATTTTAACACACTGTAATTTAGTGCGTAAGTGTGGTATTTCTAAGCGATTTTTTTCCTTTAGCATGAACATTTTCATCATTAAGTATAAGTAAGATAAATATGGACGAGCTGAGGGGAGACTGCAGCGAAAATAATTTTCAGTCCTAGTTAATTGTGGTTCGGCGCCGCCCTATAGATAAGCGGAGGGCAAGCCGCGATAACCTGCAGCTAATCAGCACGCCTCACACAATAACTTAATTTATTCGACTTAAATCAAGACAGCAAAGTTTAGCATTTCTCTATCGGGCTGAACCTCAGTGACTCTCTTGCGTTTTGAGGTACTCCTTGTATTTGGATTCGTTCATCAAGTCCTGCAGTTCCGAGTCGTTGCTCAATTCCAGCTTGAACAGCCAGCCTGAAAACAACCGTTGTTTACGCGAGCCGAAAAGTTGCGGGGGTCAAACTGATGATGGGATGGGAAAATTATTGCGCTACCTTTATCGTAACATGACGAGTTGATTAAGGACGGCGTCTCTTCTACAGCCTCGTTTTTCTCCAGCACTTTACCGCTGACTGGGCTGTAGATCTCGCTGGCCGCCTTCACGCTCTCCAGTGCGCCACATTCATCTGGAAAAGACTAATTTTAAGAATAAACGACAATTGCAATGTGTGAGGCTTGTGTTACCTTTCTGCTTCAATTCAGTGCCCACGTCTGGCAGTTGGGCGTAAACCACGTCGCCCAGAGCTTCCTAAATACCAAATTTTTAACATTAACTACTTAGAACCACCTCAAGCGCTCACCTGGGCATAATCGGAAATCCCGATAGTTCCAACTTTACCATCCACTAGCACCCATTCGTGCTTTTCCGTAAAAAGCCTGTCTGGAAGGGCAAAACTTGCTCATTCAGGATTAATTAGCAGCAATCAAGGCCCTACCTGCGTAGACCTGCAAAGTGGTCTGGATAGATCTGCAATTGGCCTTTTTCTGGATTGCATGCGGGCCTTGCAAAAACCTTCTCGATGAACTACACAGAGCACGTGCAACCACAGACATTTTGCACGACGTATTATCCAAAAACTAGCCCCGCTTTTATCGGTTTATTCGACGCACTCGAATCGGTTGGGAACACACGGTTTTATCAACTTTCGGACGGTCGTAAACAATTCGTGGGTCGCGATTAGGCAAATCGGTTGCCGACTTTCAACACAATCTCTTCGTTAACCGAATTTAATTGAGAGTTAATTATATAAAGCTTGTTTTGTAAATAGCGATAATGGCTCAAAAGAAAGAGAGAGACACTCAAACTAACCCAAACTATATGTTGAAGTTGTCAGTGGTTTGAGGTTCTGTTCTAAAGCAGCCTAAACATCCCTTTAAAGTGTCTTTCAAATTAAAAAAACTGTTTCAAAATGAGCACAGTTGATTTTAACTTAAAGTCCCTAGTCGGGGCTCTGTCTACCATCGAAGCCTCCACGGAAACTGTGTCGTTTGCCGGGCAATCGTTGAAACTCAACTCTGAAGATGATGGTAAATGCTTTTTTCCGCCTTTTTTCTATTGAGGGCCAAAACCTTCCATTTGCAGCGAAGCCAGTTATAGAGGAAATCGACAAATGCACCTCCCTGAAGTGTTTAAACCTTGAAGGTAACACTCTTGGTGTGGATGCCGCTAAGGGCATTGCCAAGTCTCTGGAGAAGCATCCGGAGTTCAAAAGAGCGCTATGGAAAGACATGTTTACAGGCCGAATGAAGGACGAAATACCCAAAGCGCTGGTGATAACTACAAGCTTTGGACCTACAGTTTTATCACTCTGTGTGCTTAATTGCAGGAATTCTTAGGTGCCGGTTTAGTGGAGGCAGGCGCCCGTTTAACGGAGCTGGACTTGAGCGACAACGCCTTTGGCCCTATTGGGGTGCAGGGATTGGCCTTTTTACTGCGAAGCCCCTCCTGCTACGCCCTGGAGACGCTGAGACTGAACAACAATGGTTTAGGTAATGAAACTGTAATGAAATAAAAGAAGTATCCAGGGGCTAATTAGCAGCGTTATCAAGGCATAACCGGGGGAAAGCTGCTGGCAGCCGCCCTTACAGACTGCTACAACAGCAGCAAGGCCCAGGGCAAGCCCTTGGCTTTGAAAGTATTCATTGCCGGGCGAAATCGACTGGAAAACGATGGGGCGAAGGCATTGGCAGCTGTTTTCCAGGTAAGTGTTTTTAACCAAATTTGAACGTAGCTAAATCGAATAATATTATTGAAGATGCTGACTACTCTGGAGGAAGTCGCCATGCCCCAGAATGGCATTTACCATGCAGGCATCACAGCCCTTTCGCAAGCATTTTCCCACAACAAAAACCTGAAAATCCTGAACCTGAACGATAACACAATCACAGTTAAGGGAGCGCAAGCGATTGCCAGCATCTTGCCCAGTCTGCAGAATTTGAAGTCGATTAACTTTGGAGACTGCCTGCTGAAGACCGAAGGCGCCCTATCGATTGCCAAAGGTACCCAAAAGAAGTGTGAAGGCAACGGGGATTAATTTAATTTAAAACACAGGGCTGAAGGAGGGCCATCAGAACCTAGAAGAGCTTATCTTGGACTGCAACGAAATTAAGGCCGCAGGTGGGATGGCTTTGGTGGACGCCATGGCGGACAAAGCACATTTAAAGCAACTTTACCTCAACGGCAACCAGTTCGGGTTTGAGGGTTCCGAGTACATCAAGGAGCGACTGGAGGACTTTGGTAAACAAATACCCAACTAGCACCTGAAGGACAACGTAATGCGGCTTTTGTTCCACAGGGCAACTTGCGGCTCTGGGCTCCTTAGAAGACAACGAATCAGAGGACGAATCTGACGAAGACGAGCAATGCTCTCAGTCAGAATCCGAAGACAGCGACGGGGGAAAATCGTTGGATAGCAAGGAAATTGAGGAAGTGGAAGTGCCGAGCAGCAGTATATCAGTGAAGGAATTCTTAGAGGCCCCCAATGCCAATAACTTCCTGGCTCTGGGAAGCAACAAGGAGCAGCTACTCCTGGAGGCAGCCCAGGTGAGCCTGATTAATAACTGAATTTCCAACCAATAAACATTGCTGTTTACAGCAAGCCGGCCAAGCGGACCTTGATGATTTCGTGACAATCATTATGAAAGTAACGGCTTTGAGTGACAACAACAAACCGCCAGTGGGTGAACAAGCGGCTAAAGTAGGCGAAAAACTCTACAAGGCCCTTTTTGCGTGGGCCGAACAGCACAAATCCCTATCATTAGTCAACAACAGTCTTCTAGTCAATTTGGGACTAATCAAAGTGAGGTTTCACCCGCTAGACTTTTTTAGGTTGTTAACTTGACTCGTTCCAGGGTGAAGACCGCAAAACTAAACCGACCTGGAACTTGGCTGGGTGTTTGGCGTCGCTGAAAACGCTGTCGACGCAAAGTTTTCTTCCCGAAACCACCAGGAACACCTTAAAAGTGTTTATGCAAAGGCAAGTAGATTCGTGAAAACCACCCGATGATTTTTGAATATAAGTCTTTTTCATATTATTCGTTGTGTTATTTTTGGCCCGCTTTACTACTAGACGATAGAATGATCGTTGGCATTGTTTCAGGGAAATGGATAGGAACAGCGATCATATCCAGCTCAAGGGGGAGATTCTGGGACTTCTGAAATGAGTTGGGGGTTTTATTTGTTTTAATTGAAACACATTCAATTTGTTCATGGGAAAACTATAGTATATACGAAATCAGTCTCCAAAGTACAAACGTGTAGTTGAATGTGATTATTTTTATATAAAATGGCGAACTTTGTAAAAAATACTAAGTAAACTAGTAAAACTTGCATCCAAGTGTATAAAATCGGGCTCATCCACCCTACACATATATTTTCATCGTTCTATTTATGGTACTCCTGCAAATGGGGCAAATATTCCCGTAGCTTTTCAACTCTCTGGTACACAGTGTGCACAGACAAACATGCCTGCATGGTAACAGTAAAACACACTTGTTCCTCTCCTGGCAAATCACACAAACTTTACTATCGGCCTCCAGGTCGAAGTTACTTTGTCTTGATTTGGGTGAAGGCAACGGTGCCACTTGCGGAGCCCTTAGAGGCTCCGCCACTGAGGCCCTGGGGCGTTGACGCCATCGCCTCAATTCTCTGACATTGCGCGTAATCTTTCTGGCCAGTAGTCTGTAGCACTGGGATAGAACGTAGAGTAAGCTGAGGCCTACAGCTATGCCGATAGCTGACTGAATGGGGACATCCACAATGAAATTAACACCGTCCTTGATAGCGAGTTTTGAGGCTGAAAGTCCGCTGTGAAACATGGCGCGTGTTTCTTGAACTAGCTGCTGTATAAAGGCTGAAACTAACTTGCAAATATAGACGATCATTAAAGGGAGCAGTGTGATTAGGAACCACACTCCGGAACCAAACAGGATAAAAAGCTTTTTGACAAATACAATCACATAGCCTACGCCCGCAATGGTTGCTGTTATTCCACTGATCACTGCACTGCACACTGAAACCGTCAACGTTGTAACCGAGTGATAAAGTATGTACAATTTGCAACACAGGGAGCCGATGACTTTAAGGACCACGTCCAGGCTATCTGAGAGAAATATAAAGCCTTGGTGCAGTATCTGCACATTGTCCTGCAGGAATATGAGGAAACACTCCCATAATATTGAGCAAACATTGAAGCACTGCGCCCCAAATCCAAGCAAATGCTGCAAGGCAAGGCCGAAGCTTTTAACCAGAAAGTGGCCAGTCTTGTAGCTGCCATACAGTATATGGAAGCACCACGTTTTTAATACATTCACTAGAGAAACTAGAGTTTCCAACATTGTGTACGGACATAACTTTAAATCATTTGAATTCGGTTAAACGGGAGGTTATGTATGTTGCTTGTCAACATGTCAACTGCAAACGGTCGCTATCGCAGTGGCAAACCGACCGTGGTCCGTGGATCTCTGTTTTTAGTGCACATTGAATAGAGATGGGCTGAAATTGACCACGCCTATAATCAACGCATCGGTTTTTTCATAAAATACTAGCTGACCCGGCAAACTTTGTATTGCCATATAAATTATAACCCTAGGAATAATTTATATGGCAATACAACGTTTGCTATTATTCCTAGGGTTTTTTTTTCATCTCGAGTGGGCGGTTTGCCCACTTGAGATTTTGTTATTATTTTATTTTAAATTTCTTGAATTACTAATATAGCTATTAAAAGATAGGGGTTTATGGCAGCACCCATATCACTTAGGGGTATAAAAAATAGATAACAACCTATTCTCAGACCTACTGAATATACATACAAAATTTCATCAAAATTGGTCAAGCCGTTTCGGAGGAGTATGGTAACTAAAACTGTGACACGAGAATTATATATATATAGATAGTTTCTCAAAATATCTCTAAGTTTACACAATTTTCATGGCAAGGAAATAAATAAAGCAACGAGCTCATTGAAAAACACGCATGAAGATTCGGAGAAATCGATATTTTTCCAACCAAACAAAAAATATAAAATTAAAAATGAAAAATGGTAAGACACGGAATCTTTTTAGGCGCTGCTTTTTTCGAAGGTTCTCAAGCCCCATTTGAGCCACAGAATTTGGTTTCAGAATCGTTGGATAGAGAATTGAACATTCGATTTAGTCATAACATGAAATTCGAGTAGTTTTGATAAAGAAAGCGAAATTTGAATATCATACATTCACACTTACCGAGAGCTTATCGCGCCACATGCAAAGAAAGAAAAACATTCGGTCAATAGAAATTCAAACAGAAACTTACAAAATGTAACAACTTTTTGAACTTTTTAAATAAAACAATTTATAATTTGAAGACGGTTGATTTCACAGCTTAAAGTGTAAATGCAATTTGATGTTTGCATCAATCTCTAAACAACTTGCAAAGGCCCCAACAGACCAACCAAGTTCACAGACAGTTTTCCTCGAAAAACTACCCGTCTAGGCATAAAGATGCCCACGCACGCAGGTACTTTCACGGCGTTCACCGCCGACGTCGCCGTCGCTCGAATTACAACAGGTGTACAAGGTAACCGCTGATAAAATTGTCGTCACGTTATCAGAAACGCGAATACTCTGGGTACCAAGCGACTTGGCTTTCATACAAAAATATACACCTTCACAATTAGTCAGTCGATCCAGAGGTACCAGATCGGGTGCGTCGTACGGTCGCTTCAATACACGCCAGCAGTGCGCGGCTTTGGCGGCAAATTTTCCTGCGTTTTCGATACATTTTTATTCAAACATGACGGTCTTTCAACCTTTAGTAAACGGGGAAAGTCCCATCGAGGAACCATAAGGAATGTGGTTGATTTGCAAGTTTAGTGTGTTGATTAATTAACTAACTGATCTACATATAGTTAGTGGTGGAGAATGTGAAGTGATTTTTTTGAGGTTTTGCTGCTGAAAATGAGAGAAACTTGGGATAAGAAGGACGAGCCGCGATTGAGCGACGGCCAACCGGTAAGCAGAAAGGTTCTAGATGCCACATCTAAAAACCACATCTTCTCCACTCGAGATGAAATTCCTGCTGGTTTTTATCAGCTAGAATTGTGTGGAAGCATTGAATACTTTAGCCCAGAGAGTGATTGGCTTTATCTAATCGCGCGGCTTCTTTCCGGGCTACAGCACTCGGTTGACCACGATTTTGCTGGAAATGTACAGCACTTCCTGTCACCAATCGCCAAGCGATTTTACTAATTTCTGCCGTTACGTGTGCAGAAGAAAGTGCCAAGTTAATCAGGGAATATCTAGTTTAATGCGATTTGTTGCTCTGATTGGCAATCCGCTGGATTTTCCCAATGATTCGCTCCTTCAATCTTCCTCAAATATCGTATTTTTACAAGGACAAATTAGTCTTTTTAGTTCCTTTATTTATCGGTTTTGAGATTTCTAGCTTTATCTGCTTCCTCTGTTATTATAAAATGAGGCTACTGGGACAGCTGAGGTTTTCTCCATCTCTCTTCCCGGAAAAGAAAATATTTTCCAGGACGGCCTAAAACTTCGAAAATTTTACCCAATTATCGCCATTTAATCGCATTAAATGCCAAATTTAAGTCCTTGCTATTTCTAATCAGCGCTGGTAAATCGGTGGTGTGCGACAAGAACCGACTGGTTTCCACGGGAACCTCATGTTATTCTCTCTCTTGACCGCACGCCGACTACATCATTTTGACTACGAGGTTCAGTCAAAAGATTGTTGTTCCTTCAAGCTAGAGTGATACACTTTTGAGGATGTAAACCACTGGTATTTTCGAAACGTTTCATCAGTTTCCTCTGTTATTGCTCTTGTATCAAAATTAAAGTGGTATTAATCATCCGAGTCATTTCCAATAAACACTATTGTATAAATAATCCTCATAACTCTCATATCTGACAGAGATTAGATTGATAACGGAACTATTCTGGATATTGACCTGGAATTATGCGTCACAATTTCCAGACTAAATTCTGTGTCTTTTGTGGAAGTTGCATCAAAATCCATGGTGAAAATCCTCGCTTTGGTAAGGGAACATTTTCACTCTCATAATCGCTTTGGTGTGAAATTGCGCTTTATATAACGAGCTTTTCTTTCCTTAAGGTCGTCATGTGCAGACAATAAATATTATTGCCAATCAACTCCTTTAAAGGAGGACGACAAAATTAAATGTGGTAATTAATGGAGCGATTGTCTATTGTTGTGCAGCACCTCACCGTTGTTATCTGTGTAAAGGGATTAAAAAAGTATTTGTTCCAATTATCAATGAGCCTTGAGACCGATACGATTTTGTAAAGTGCGTCTCAAGACAATCAGCTCTATTATTAGAAGTTAGCGGCTACTGATAAGGAAAAGGGTTTGTTTGCCCGCTAAAAGAAATCTTGATTAAATGGTAAATCTAAGTTTCACATTTTACAACAACCTCGGAACCTTGAACCGCGCTTGTTTGTGTGTACCCTGAACCTTCATGGAATTATTAATTAACATACAGAAAAAACCGCTGGTTATTAGTGGAAATTATGGGAAAATCCTTGTATTATTTTTATCCATATACTAAGCAAGGTTTCATCCTTTGACTACCTTCCATTGCGGATCCTTTTACGATGTTTCTTCGATTGTAAATGCATAAACATCATCGGCGCCTTTGGCGAATTCGGTTTTTTCAATTGCATTTCGTCAAAACCTTGATTGGAGCTTTCCAAGGTTGATGATGAGCACGATGAGTGTAATAATACCATCATTTGTTCGAAAATCCATTAAGTTAATGTGCGATTTTTCACAGCAAGGTGAAAAAACCCGATCGTTTAGGCTTTAACCGAGTTCGATTGGCTGAAAGTGGGTGATTTTGATCAATTGCAGGTGGCAAAAAAATGGAACATCACCGATCCGGTCTACAAGCCCAAAGGGCTCACTCATTCGCCCTCTCTACGTGCCATAAGAAATTACAACGACCTCCCGATTGATCGAAACAGCGGCCTGGATAATGCTGGATACGACGCTGACTATCAATACGAGTACTACATGAATCCGAACTATAAGTGAGAAATTTTTATATTAAAAAGCTATTTTTGTTTTTTTTTTCAAAATCGTACATTCTGAGCCCTCGAGAACTGTTCTTTCGATTTCTAGTCTACCAAACGGTACCGAAACGCCGAAAAGCGCCGAATACGATTACCCAACGATGAGCACCAGATCGATTCGAACCTCCTGCTCAGGAGGCTCAGAAATCTACTCAAATGGGGACCAGAACGAAATGGGTTCCTCAGTGAAATTGGTCACTGCCAAAGTGGAAATGGTACGTTCAAGCAACCGGCAGCAAACGTTTAGCAAAGGCAAATATTCACTTAGCAGATAATCGAGATTGCGCTCGCTAAATGGTAAATATTTGCTCCCAACTGGCTGTGCTAAGAATCTAAAACTGACGATGGTTCTCAAACATTGAAATTCCTCAAAGAAAACTTGAAATTTCCTCGAAAAATGCGCTCATTTTAAATGTTTGAACCGAAAATATCGTAGATTACTCGCGTCTTCAGTATCAGGTAGGTACTTTGACGATTATTCACGGTTCTATGAAATCGATCAAGCAGAACGCAGACGAAATGTTTTTGGTTCCTAAACCGGCGATTCCGTTTGCTTTTGAGCTTTTTAACCGATTTTTCGTGTTAAAAATGCAGATTTCTCGACCAATCAATGTGCATCTTTTCAGCTCATTTTGCGCCCAAAATAGGTGACAAACTGGACTGGAACCGGTTTAAGTACGTGAATTAACTGTGTCACTCAATTCATTTCTTTCGGAGGTTCCACTGCCAATTAGGCTAATGAAGGCTTTATGGCGTGTTCTACAGGGTGTCCCATCAAGTCTATAATAACCAAGTCGGAGATTGATTTTTTGTGGATAAAAAAACATTTTTCACTTGGTTACTTCGGCTGGGGAACCCGAAATAACTCCGGGCAGACTGAGTTTAACACAAGAAGTTGCTTAGTTCCAACATTCAATAACAAAAATGTGCAAAAAAATTTTTTTGACTCGGTTACTATCGGCTTTGTGTCATTCGCTTTGAAACACGCTGTACAAAAACCCTTTTATTACACATTACCCGAACCGAACTCGACCTTCTAAACAGCACGCATCTGCCAATTTTTTCCAGTCTACTGCCCACGTGCTTTCAGTGGAACCAAATTGATAATTAACCAGCTAACTAGTTGAAATTCGGCCCCGGTACCAGGCAGACCTTTGTCCAATGTGGTGCTTCCCTTGCATGGGGCTGTGCGATGTTTTGAAATGGGACTCGGCCAAATCCAGCCTGGAGCGCAACGTTTCGGCTACGTGTCCCACCGCCCGCACACCTACTTGAAGCGGTGCGAGTCGCTCGATTCGTGGACTTATGTGCTAAAGTGCTACTTGAGGCGTCGCCTCCAATACGGACTTTGTGCCAAATATAAGAAAGTAAGGCCAAGCTTCCAGTACTTGCAAGGACGCAATTCGCTTTACTGTTAGAAGGTTGGCAAGGTTGCGATTTCAGTTATTGTAGTTTGGCTTGAAAACATTGCAGCGTCCACGTGCAGTTACCGGAACCACCATGTGCACCACACATACATAATATCAACTATCGTCGGCAAATGATTTCCTAATAAGCTTATAACAGTATTCTCTAATCACAGTTATCGGTTTCGAATGGTTCCTTCCTGAATGTTGGTTCGTTTGGTGTATATACAGGGTGTTTGAAAAAAAGAGCAGGTATTTCTAGTCCAAAGAAGTCGAGATACATTTCAATAAGGGATAGGTTTTGACCAAAGGTCAGACCAATTTTTTCTCCAAAATCGTCAACTTTTCTGCTTCAAATGAAATTGATTAGTGAGTAAGTCTGATTACTCAGAAGCTGGAAGCAATAAATGCCTCACACTTCGGTCAACCGACGACTTCATGGCACAATCCATGCAAATGCGCTCCCGACCGCAGAACCATATAAAAGTAATGTCGATCTTTATTTAAATGTAATTAAATTTAATAAGCAGGAAACCAACACCGCAGCTGCCTGCCGCGCCCAAATTGAAAGCACAGTTCGCACCAGGCTTGGCAACCGTGCAAAAGTATTGCGAAAAGTCACGCAGATTATAGATATTTTATCCAAAATTCTTGATATCCTATGATGGAATTCAATGAAAAAAATGCAAAAACCTGCACTCACCCTTACGACTCAACCAATTCTCCTGAAGACTCTGCATAATTCCGGACAACAAGGAGTTAGTACGTCTGGTCAATGCCCCCAACCAATTTGACTCGAAACGTCACAGTGCGACTGGAAAACCGGTTTTTCCTGTTGAAAAGGCCCTGCTGACCAGGATTTTTCACTCAAAACGACCGAATGCGCTCTTGTGGTTGACTCAAATTTACATTTCGGGTTTAAATCGCGAAAAACGGCTTTTCGAGAATATTTTGGAAAAGCAACTCGCGCAGCTTGTAATCGGCGTACGTCGATCGAAGAAAGGCGTTTGGGTTCATGGTGCGCTGCGACGTACCCCGTATGGGTGCGCGCAATCAAACCAACAAATCGGAAGTCGATGATTGTTTCGGCGTGGAAAGGACAGAGGAAGGGCAAGGAGTAACGGGGGGTTGTTTGTTTAATCATTTTTTTGATTGTTTGTTTCAAGAGGGTTTCTTAGAAAAACAAGAAAGATCTTCAGATGGGAAAGATCGGATATCGACCCTTTTTGCAGTAACGGATATCCTCCTTCCCACATAGCAAAATTATATTCCCAGAATATACCTGGAACATTCATGTGATGTACATGCATATTCCTGGGACATACATGAGTTCCATTATGAACATTCCATGTATGTCCCAG